TATGGTTTCGAAATAATATCAATCTAATTTGTCTTATTTCAAAGGGGCTCCTGCGCAATTTAGTTGATTATTTGGTAATACGTAGAGTCCATGATGTATTTTTGGCGAGTGAGTCAGCTGTCAATATGTAATTATAAAACACCTTTTTATAAAGAAGATAAATGATGTTAGATATCATAAACTAACAAACAATACAAGTATACTTTATTACAAAACCATCGGTCAACTAATCTAAAATCATAACAGAAATTGACTAACAATATGAATAAACAATACGAATATACAGCGGTGAACTAATCTCGGCCGTGATCGGTAATCAACAAAAATCGATGAGTAAAGCTTATTTATTCCATACATTATTGTTTATTTAACAATAAGTAAGCATTAAAAGCGGTCAGTAGGCTTTGAAATAATAACATGCTCGAGTTCACAGACAATACGTTCTCGCAATTACATTGGTCAAAAGTATAATGTTTTAAGTCGTTTTAACCAATCAGTGTCATTTTTAAAGGCCTAAAATATAACGGTAAATTGTCAACATGGCGTCTAACATTAACAACGACAAACGAACTAGTACAATTTGGAAGTATTTTGAGCTAAGTGTATGTAAATCATATTCTAAATGCACACTTTGTAACACGCAACTAAAATATTATGGAAGTACGTCTTAACATGCGGAATCATGTTAAAAACCTGCATAAATCTGTCCGGCTAGACGATCCAACGACAACGCCTTCAACAAGTCAACGTCAAACTGCAATAACAAGCTTTGCTCGACAAAAACTTCTACCAATTAAAACGGATGCAATAAACAAACGTTTAGCACTAATGTGTGCCCTAGATTTACATCCAGTGAATATTATTAATGGGGAAGGTTTTAAGGAATTTGTGTCAGCCCTGAATCCTGATTACACTTTGCCGTGTCGCAAGACAGTAACAAAATATGTGCATCTCCTCTACGAGGATATTAAAGTTCAAGTAACAAATGACGTCAATAACAAATCAATTTCTCTCACATCGGATATATGGACTAGTATCGCAAATACCCTACAACTCGCCGTATCTGATGGACTTAAAATCACCTCCATCGATAGGACACTTGGAGCAGCCAGACGATTAGTTAGTCATTTTAGCCACTCAATAATTGGCACTGAAGCTTTGTTAAATGCACAGGGGGGTGGCGTCGGTGCCAAAAAACTAATTCAAGATATCCAAACAAGATGGAATTCGTCTTACTATATGCTTAAACGCTTATTAGAACTACGCATTCCGTTATATACAGTACTATTTGACGACAAAATAACAAAGACAACTGATCGACAAATATTAGATATGCGCGACAGTTCATGGAAAATAGTTGAAGACATTGTTCCGGTATTACACCCACTAGCTGACGCAACGGAGATCCTTGCCACAGAGATCCTGGCCGTGGAGAATACCCCATCATCGAGCTGCGTATTGTTACTATTGTCTAATCTTGTTTCCAAGGATTTGAACCCTCAAGATGGCGAACCCAGGTCGTAAAAGAACTTAAAAATGTAACAGGATGACTAGTCATCAACATCCCACGCCCTTGCACTTGTTTGGAAGAAATAAGGAAAAATAACTTCTTTATGCTATTGGTAATGTATACATGTAGCTGTTTGTATTGTTACAAAGTTTTGAGCCAATCAATGAAAGAATAGTACAATTGCCAATACCCAAATAACCTAGAACAGGAATCATATATCCTATAATTTATGCAATGTATCATTACGATTGTACTGCAGACATTTACGCTGGCATGTAAATGATTTAGTACAATCCTCACATTTATTCATTTTTCTTCCTTTCTGTAACAGTAATAAATGTACATATGTATACAAGCAAGGTTTTTAAAATTAATGATGAATAGTTGAATGTGTATTTAAATGAGTTTTATGAGTAAATGATTTACTACAAACATCTCTTCTCCTTTAGGAATGTCCAGAAACTGATGAGAAAATGGTTTATGAAAGCATAACAATGAAGCGGCAAAATATAGATATTCAAGTAACAATTATACAAAAAAGTGAACTTAACAAAATACAATATGTTGATCATGTTAGACTTTCGTAAAGTAAATAATGATTGAATCATATACTATAACTGAAAAAAAATTGGTATTACAGGTGCACATAATGTAAGTTCTTCATCCTCTTATTTTGAATTTCTCAGATTTGATGATTTTATGTGTTTTCAGAAATTCCTAAATAGCAAAAGGCACAACTACTGTAATAGGCTGATATGTGTGCAAAGTTTCAGAAAGATATCTTGAATGGTTTATGAGATATGCTCCGGAAACGAAATCAGACCGGACGGACGGATGGACCGACGGACGGACGAACCCGTTTCAATATCCCTCCCTAACTTCGTTCGGTGCGGGATAATAATACATGGCTTGTCAAAGAGAGTACCAATAGCAGATACAGGCCTCCCAACAGCAGAAGGGTTAAAACATCCATGGATGATAGCCACCGCCCTAGACCCAAAATATAAATCGCTAAAATTTCTACCTTACGAAAAGCAACAAATAGTCTGGGATGAAGTCAAAATACTCCATGCTAAACAACAACAAAATGAATTATTAAATACTGTAATAAATGTAGAGGAAACACCTGCAAATCAAGAGCCCCCACAAAAAAGGAGCCGCGTAGCGGAATATTTATTTGGTGACATAAGCGACACAACAAACCAACTTAATATTGATGATGAAATAAGACAATATAAACTATCACCTGTGACCACTTCCAACTCTTTGGACTGGTGGCACAAGAATGCCGAATTGCTACCGCAATTAAGCAAATTAGCAATGAAATATTTAGCCATACCTGCGACGTCAGTGCCTAGTGAAAGATTTTTTAGTGCAGCCGGTAGGACAATCACCAAACTAAGATCTCAATGGATCCAGAATTGCTGGACGAATTGTTATTCATAAATAAAAATTACCAATCAATTCAAAATAAACAATTCAATATAATTCAAAGTCATGTAGTAAAACTTTAAATAATTATTAATATTAATTATTAATAACTTGTTCTTTATAGTTTATATTACCTTTAAACATCAACAAAAATGTAATCTAAGATTATTTTATACTAGAGAGAGACGACACCTTATAAATGCAATATATGATAATAAAATTCATACTGGAGAGACGCCTTATAATAGTTATCAATGTAATAATAAAATTCATACTGGAGAGACGCCTTATAATAGCAATGTAATATATAATAAAATTCATACTGGAGAGACGCCATATAAATGTAATAATAACAAGACAATTCATACTGAAGAATGTATAAATATTGTTTGTTTTATGGCAGAAAATCGGACCCTTTGATCCTACTGCGGTTTCTTTGAAGTAGACCTTAAACCGACGGGGGCGACAACAATATACGACGACATTTCAATGTGGGCGTATAAAAATTATGACCTGTATAGTGTCTACAAACAATTGTGGACGGGTGTCTGGAAGTATGATGTCATGTAGACAAAAGACCTATGATATCAATTTGAGGGTAAACTATTACATATACTAAAATGACTTATTTTCACATTCAAAATAGCTTCATCTCCAACTCACACCCATGCTGCGCCCAGGGTTCACATTGTTGTTCACAATTTGCGATAAAAAAATAAAAGTATCAATACTATAAATTAAATCAACTAGCTGAAAATCTGGAATGTGTCATTGTGTAATCAATTGTCATGGATTAATGATTCGTTGATTGATAGGCTAATTGGCAATGATATATGGAGCCTTCCCCAAGTCATTATTTACTCCAAATAAGTAATCCAACCGATGTTTATTTTATATTTCGTTTCATTTTAAAAATAAAACATATTTTGATGGTTGAATTCCGTTTACTGTGGCTTCATAAGGCATGTAACATACACAGGCATGCCTGATTGGATATTATTGTTTCAAATTGTATTAACACCATGGGTCGGAAACATGAGAACAATGTCAATGAATGAGTCGAATAGCGACGATTCTTGTTTTATTATACTGCTGCCAAAAGGCACTAAAGTTGAAATGAAATTGAAATTTCTATCATTCTATCAGTGATTCAGATTTGTATACCGTTAGAGTACCTGAAAATAACAAAAGACCTAGCATACATGCAAAAACTTATTTTAATTCAGTCAGGTGCCGAAGGCTATAGGACACATGCATAGCTGTGGCGACTTCTATGATGATCAAGAAACTAAACTTGATTACCCAATAAACAACCCTAATCTCCTGACCACTAAAAGTTGCTAACTAATTGGTGAGATTAACAGATGTTATTCTCATAAATGTGACCGGTGACAGCCAAATGAGTCTCTTGGGGTAAAAAATAATATTTGAGTTATCCATATATTCAGAGAGTACATGTTATATAAGCTTTTCAATGATATATCATATATAAAATGTAAAGCCGGAAGCGAACATTCCAACGGCAACATCGTCAATTTGGCAGACGAAATTGGCTAATTTTTACGAAAATTGTTTTGTTTTTAGCATTGATTTTTATGGCACTACTTACAAAACACCCAATTTATACACTAAATTAAATATTTAAATTTGTCTGGATTACTCCAATAATAGACAAGTTAAAGCATCAGATTTCACAAAACAAAAATTTGTTTTTTAAAGTTAAGCTCAAGTAGCTATTTTACATCGTAGCGTTAAATGAGCACCTATCCGACTTCCGACTCATTTGGCTGTCACCGGTCACAAATGTTATTATACAAAATATAGATTAGGTTAACTTGCTTTTTCTCAAAACTACTTTCCTGACTTGGGCAGCTTCAAACAGACACAGCTCAGTCAATCATTGCCAAATTCAAACCAATTATACATCATTTTGAAGGTATTGAGATTAATATGAAATAACAATAACTCAATTTTCAAAATTTCATTGCGACTCATTTTGCAGCACAGGTCGCAAATATTAAATTACTTTTAAAATTTTCAAGAAATAAAATTATCTTACCTTAATTTATCTAATTCATTTTCATAAAGATTTTTCAAACTATTAATTTCTTCCTCTAGAATTTTGATGGATTTTAGAAATGCTGATGAATCAACTTTATTACTGATATCACTTAACTGTCGTACATGTTGTATGTAAGTGCTGAACCGTTCATTGATACGCTTCAGTTCTTCTCTTTCATATCCCCTTGACACTAAATAATCCATCTTGTATTTTGTTAATTTGTCTGGTAAGTCTGTCATTGAATACGTTATGAGAGGATTTTTGTCATTATTTCTATGATAGTTTTGTATTTGAGGACTCTTGTCTAAAACAGCAGATTTAAATGCAAGGCGAGTCACTTGAAATGTCTTTCTTTGAATTGAACTGTGAGGTAGTGGCTGAACGTTATTGTCAGCAAGAAAATTTCTAACTGAGGTGAAGCATTTTGGTAATGGTGAGCCAACTATATTTTGTCGAACTTCTAGTCTGTCACACTCTAAAAGTTGTTCCAAAAATTGTGAAGAGGCAACACTTTCTTTATCGGAATCAGATCCAGCTCCGTCCTTGTTCTTTCTTGATACTTTCTTAATGATAGACTTTGTTTCTGTTTGACAGTTTCCAATATCTACAACTTGATCAGACGCAGGAAACCTGCAGGAAAAATTTAAGAGTAATTGAAACATGTTTCAGCGGAATATCCAATAGAATTTGAATTTTTTTCTAAAATAAATCCCATAATCTATTGCCTAACCATGGAATTTGTATCATTTGGGTGTCATAAGATTGTCCCTTATTTGGGCTATCCAACGACAATTTAGTTGTTTTGATGTAATGAAATCTGGCACAGTAATCACATTTTTTGCAAGAGCTCCTTTTTATTACTTTTTTTTCAAAATATCAGATTTTTTTTCGACTACTTCCGGTTTTTGGATCATTGTCAGAATAGTTTTAACAGGTTATTTGGATACTTAAAGGAGCTAAATCGCTAACATTTGGGACCTAGAAATTGACAAAAGTGGGTCGCAACGCATATAATATGTAATATGAATGTATATAAACTGATTTACATTCAATGGTTTCCGTTTTTACTCCAATTTCAAATCTGTTATGTTCGGCGAAATAAGCCAGCAGTCTCAAGCGAGCACAAATTTCTAGCGTCTGGTTATTCCAGTCACATACGCCGTTTGATTTGGTGCAATGTGTCTAGACTCGTCCATCGAGTCTCTTGATGCAACTGGGGCTGAAGCGCATTATGGTACACGATTCGTGTACCAATGGTAAAATGTTTATTTTGTCTTAAATATTGGATATCAAAAGCCCATCTTTTCCCGGTAAGATCACAACATGAATGTTGATTTAATTTGACAAATAAATCGTGTTTTCAATGTTGAAGATTTTGGATGATATTAAGTTAGAGACTTAGCTACTTTAACTACCTGTACAAAAAGTTTCAGAAACATCCATTGGAATGGGCTGGCTGTTTTTAAAAAAATAAAAAATAAAAAAATGTAAGAGCATTTTCAGTAATTTAACGATTTTTCAACTTTTTTCTAAGATTGAGGTCATTTTAAGACTAGTTATATTATTTCAATCAATGGTTTTATTTTTGGATGCACACACTCAGACCACCAATAGGACTCGGAGTAAGAAAAGTTTTACAAAAATCGTAGGTGTGGATTTCGACAAAAAGCCGTCTCAAAAGGCTCCAAAACGGAAAATACTAGATTTTTGGCGGACCATAATTTATTTCCTATCCATCGAATTCGTATTATTTGGATGTCATATGACAGTCCATTACTGTGACTATCCCACGACACTTTAGCTGTATTGATCCGCTGACATCAGACAAAGAAATGAAATTTTTCTCGAGAGCACCAACTTTTTAACCTATTTTTTCATTATACATAATGAAAAGAGAATATGTTGAAAATTTCAGTCAAATTACTTCATTCTGAGCAAAGTTTGGGCTGTTTGGAGAATAGCGCAGTCTCGATTTTCATTGCTACCATTGTTAGAATAGTAAACAAAGTCTTGATTATCCATTTTTTAAAGTTACAATTTCATATTTTTAAGTTATATTTTTAAAATGTAATAATATAAAGCCCTAAAATAGATGGTATCTATAAACAGTCCTACCTTGTTAAAGAATAATCCTATTAATCCTATAATTCACTATTGCCAGTTGAGAAATTGGCAAAAATATCATTTTCAACTTCAAATTCAAACGTTTGAAGATAGCTATTCCATGGTGGGGAATAGGAAAATAAGGGAGGTAATTGGGTTATTATTTCCGGTGTGAAGATTTTTAAGTGCGAGTGAGGTAACAATAGTGAGTTGACAACCTATTGAGCAAAAGATATAGAAATAATTGTTTTGACTTTCTTAGAAAATATTAAATTGTAACTTTAATTAAATGAGCTAAATCGCTCATATTTTGGGCCTAGAAATTGGCACAAATGGGTCGCAACACATGAATATGAATTTTCATAAACTGTTTTACATTCAATCGTTCCATTTTACTGTGAATTGTCATCAGTTATGTTCGGCGAAATACGCCAGAAGTCTCCACCGAAAGACAGTTTCTAGCGTCTGGTTATTCCAGTCAACACCGATAGTATATATTGTGCATGCTCTCCAAATAAGAATATGGCATCACCGTTTGACATGACTTGTGGAATATGTCTAGCCTCATTCTTTGAACACCTTGTTTCAAATGGCGCTGAAACGCATTATGGTACACGATTCGTGTACGGCAATGGTAAAATGTTTATTTTGTCTTAAATATTGGATATCAGAAGCCCATCTTTTCCAGGTAAGACCACAACACCAATGCTGATTTAAATTGCAAAAAAATTTGTGTTTTCAATGTCGAAGATTTTGGATGATATTGAGTTACGGACTTAGCTACTTTAAATCATTAACTGCCAATCATATTTAAATCCATTGGAAATCAAAAGTATCCAATAGTCTAGAGAGTTGATCCTAGTCTTGTCATGTTAATAAATGTCTAATTAATAATATACGTTTAAGTTTATTAAGACCTAAGGAAAGACCTGCAATAGGCAGATTTAGCTCACATTGCATTTTTAAGGTAATTATTTTTAGCTAATTGATTTCTATTAAAGCAAAGAGTGTACTAATAGTTACTGATCCAAGATATGATTCTATTTAGCTTTGGGAACTTTAATCTGATAAGAATGTTATTTTCTATAATGTGACCATGCAGTAGATTTTTTTTTTAAAAGGCTACAATACAATGCTCATTATCAAACTCAATCAAGAAATTCACATAATGAACATTTACATTAAGTTTGAACATTCTACCTCAATTAGACACAGAGATATTTTGAGAAAAAAGGCTTGACTTGCAAACGGATGAATGAACCCATTTGAAGTGCCCCTCCTTTTTTCGAAAGACAGGGACAATAAAATGCTGCAAAAATGTTGTTTTCATAAAATAAATGCAAGTCAAACTTCTACTGGTGTAATATGTATGGGGGTTTTAGTTAAAATTTGGCTACTAAAAGTAAAAAAATCAGATTATATTTTTCCATTTACCATCTAGCACAAAAAGCAAAGTAACAGAATAGCCACTGTTAAGAGATTATCATACCTAGTTTGATCCATAAACCTAATTGGGTGATTAAAAGTACATAATAATCCAATGTTAATTGAAGACTGAAAACCTTAGCTACATTCTTGTTCTCTGTCTGAGTCTAAGGTCATAAATTCACTATCAAACTATACAATTAAAGCTTTATCCTATGTCAAAGCTTTTAGTACACTAAAATCGTATTCTTGAATAAGGACGGCATATAAAGGACATAACCACTAGCAACTGTTGTCACTATAGTAAACAAATATAGAATGAGTGTTTTGTGTCAAATGATATACAGATAGTCCCCCATTAGCGACCTAAAGCTATTTTTTATCCATTATATCCATACCTTTATTTTAATAAATAACAATAGCTTATGTTTACTGTCTAGCTAAAAGATAGTATATAAACAGAAAAATCATTTACTACAGGTATGCTGGTTAATCCTCTAGATTTACTGTTATCTATTCCTGTGTCATTTAAATCTACAAAAAGTTCTCAGGGTTCTTTAAATTTTCGCTTGGATTAACTCTAATCCAAAGTCAATTTTTTAAAACTTTTATATTAGATTAATTACTTATCTCATGTCAGTCTTCTTACTAAGTTTGTGTATGCATTTCAGTGTTGAGTTGTAAAAAAAGATTTTAGAAATGTTATTACTAAGTTTATTATTCTTTTTTACCGGTACCCCTTATTTCTCCGAGTTTGCTTTAGATATTGATTATTTGTTATAATCTTGAGAAAAAAGTGTCTAAACTTGCTTGAAATTGTAAAAAAAAATTATAATTTTCAAAATCCCGTCCCTTTTTTCTCCTACTCCTGATATCTTGGACTTCTGTACAATGGTTTCATACACAAGACTACCGATTAGACTCTCTATAGAAGAAATTTACGAAAAAAATATTAGGTGGACTTTTCGAGAAAAAGGCGTCTACACATTGCTTAAAATCATAAAAAACCTTACTTTTCCCAGTCCCATAACTTTTTATACGCTCACATTTTCATGTGGACGTATTAATGCTGTCACCCCTGTCCGGACATTCGGGGGTCACCCAAAGATCTCGGTTCCTTTTGATATTGGCATGTATCGGACCATAACTTCATGGATTATGGCCCTTGATTGTTATTGTACGAAAAATCTCGTTTTTAGCTTGTGGACACTCTAGAGGTCACAATTTTGATCCGATTTTGATGAAACTTTAAGTGCATGTTTATATGAAAAAGATCTTGGTTCCTTTCGATATTTGCACATATCGGATCTTAACTTTCTAAATTATGGCCACTGATTGTACGAAAAATCACATTTTTAGCTTGTGGTCCCTCTAGAAGTAGAAGTCACAATTATTTAAAAAAATGTTTAAATATATCACTGTTACATCGAAATGTTGGTCAAGTTCAAATTTCGTGAAAATCGGACCAAAACTGCCAAACAAAATGCCAGGCCCTCGTACGCAAATAGTATATCAAGGTTGTGGATCACCGAGAACTACTGTGAATCTGTGCATGGTCCTTATAGAAAACTATGTATGGGGCGTAATCTGTACATCTATCGAAAGAGAATTAATTTCTTGATTATTACTCGGCATTACCGCGTTAAAATTGTAAATAAGTTGCGTTAAGTAACAAAGGTGAGAAACTGTCAAGAGAGGTGATGTAATTAACGCTAGGGGTGTGTTAATTAACCGACCGATAAAAAAATGAATGTCAATGGTGTGTATTGTTTAATTGGCGTGTTTTCTCGCTAGTTGCAATAACTGCACCAAAAGGAGTATAATCAAGGACCAAAAGGCTTTATCGGAGACGTGCCTGTCAAATCAAAATCCGGGAAGTAAAACTGTTTCACTGTGCGATTTATCATCCGAACATGTGTTTTATGCCGGTCTTTAACAGATCTTTATATAGCAAGTTTCTCTGATGTGTCATTTGTATTTGTAGAAGACCCGTACATGTTTTATAGTGCCACGCTACTTATAAATAAATTTGCATTTAATGAAATAAAAATATGGGCCTTGGACTATCGTACGGAAAGGTGAATACAATGTCGTCAGATATA